CAGAGGGCTTTAATTCGATCGATAAAAAAGAAAAATCGATTTGCCAGCCGACACGCTCGCGTAACCATACACACCGTTGATTATGGACACGTCAAAGGCTTACCGGTGCTTTGATCGATGTCCCCTCAGATGTTCACTTTGTATGCGTGTCTCTCTATAACCTTTTTCTATCCTGTTGTCGAAAAGTCTCTTCAACTGTGCTGTTAAAAATATCGGATACATGTCTCGTTAACCCGTTAACTGGTAATGACGAGTCAACTTGTCTTTAGAAAAGAATTCATACATCATTCGACGTAACGAATTCTAGATACTGCTTGAAATGTCTACTTATGACTTTTAGGTGTAATTTATTAATATGTATTAGATGGTGGTTTAGAAATTAGCAAGAGAATTGAGTCGAAACTATTTTTAAATTTAAACGATTGTTCTCAATATGACATTTAACGTATTAATCATGAAAATATCGCTGTTCAACATTTCTCGTTTTAAAAACAACGCCCCATCTCAGTTTGAAAAGAAACGAGATTTCCGGTTGTTTGTTTCGCGCTGATAAAATATCGAAAACAAATTTGGTCGGGTCTGTCGATATTATTGGAAACGGTCCAACGATATTGGAAATAATTCTGTCTCGATGGCGGACGAATTTCAGTCGCGTTTCGAAGCCAGACGATTCGTCGAGACGAGCAACAACAAACCGGAAAATCTCGAACGATGCATTTCCTTGAGGTTGGTATCGTCGCGTGAATAACTAGGCATCGCGCAGGTACCACCTGTTACCTCGGAAGCTAAACAGCCATTCCAATTAGGGGAACGAGCTTCTTTTTATCGCTGTTCCCGCAATGGAATGAAAGGGAAACCGCGAATAAACATTTTTCCCCTCTCGTATCTCGTTTCGTAGGCCAACGTAAAGAGAGTCTACGCTGCCTCGATATAGTTCCTGACCCCTTTTGGTGAAAACAGCCTCATCATACGCGGGTACTTTGATAATTAGTCGCAACAGACTTGACATAATTATGCATCGACAAAAAGCAATCTGTGCAGAAAGAAAGAGCGAATAGATTATAGAACACGATATTTTTTCTTAAATTTGTGCGCTTTGATAGAATTGCTAGGACTTGGAATACGGAGTCTCTGGTTATATTGCCGAAAGGAGTAGGAAATTGTTAACAGAGTTGTCACTCTACTACGTGGATCATAAAGTTATAATATTATGATTGCTATACAATTTTAAGTGCGATGGAACGTACGGCGATATAACGCGAGAACGTTCACATGCGTGGTGCATGCATAGAAATGCAATGTATGGAAGTCTATATGAGTGGTAACGTAACGCGTGATAATTTCCACGCGTGGCAATACAGTGAGTGACAATTTCCACGCGCGGCGATATAACACGTAGTTCTGTATATTTACAAATGGCGATACAACACGTGTGACCCTAGATCCATAGATTTAGGGATACAATACGTAGTAATAGGGGTGGCAAATTTTATGCGTAGAAATATTAATGCATGGCAAATACCACCCATGGCAATATAATGCGCGGCGATATAATATATGGCAAATTCTGCGCTTAGCAATATTATTACATGGCAATATTAACGGGTGGAAAATTCTAGTCCTATTAATATCAGCGCATGGCAAATTCCTTCCATGGCAATATAATGCGTGGCGATATAATATATGGCAAATTCTGCGCTTAGCAATATTATTACATGGCAATATTAACGGGTGGAAAATTCTAGTCCTATTAATATCAGCGCATGGCAAATTCCTTCCATGGCAATATAATGCGTGGCGATATAATATATGGCAAATTCTGCGCGTAGCAATATTAATACATGGCAATATTAACGAGTGGAAAATTCTACTCCTATTAATATCAACGCATGGCAAATTCCTTCCATGGCAATATAATGCGTGGCGATATAATATATGGCAAATTCTGCGCGTAGCAATATTAATACATGGCAATATTAACGAGTGGAAAATTCTACTCCTATTAATATCAACGCATGGCAAATTCCTTCCATGGCAATATAATGCGTGGCGATATAATATATGGCAAATTCTGCGCGTAGCAATATTAATACATGGCAATATTAACGAGTGGAAAATTCTACTCCTATTAATATCAACGCATGGCAAATTCCTTCCATGGCAATATAATGCGTGGCGATATAATATATGGCAAATTCTGCGCGTAGCAATATTAATACATGGCAATATTAACGAGTGGAAAATTCTACTCCTATTAATATCAACGCATGGCAAATTCCTTCCATGGCAATATAATGCGAGGCGATTTAGTACGTGGAAAATTCTACGCATGGCAATATTGACGATACAGCACGTAGCAGTATTATAGTTTAGAAAATTCTGTGTGCACTAATTTTGTGGTGTAGCGAATTCCACTCATGGCAATATAATACGTGGCGATATAACCCGAGACAGTACAGCCATGCTATTACAAAATTAATTTCAATTGAGTCCAACTATATAATTTACCAGCAATGAATTGAATGGAAACGATGAAAATTGAACAATGAAATGAATTGTTCCTCCACATCGTTTTATAATATAAAAAAGTAATTACACGATAAAAGTGCATGCAAGTGCAACGCACGGTCATTGAACGAGTCAGGAGACCCACATTCGTAGCGGGTATTTTCTACACAGAACCAGGACGACCCTCCGGGTTACTTCCGTTAAAAAGCATACCCTTCGGGAAACTTCCGGCGCGGTACCCTTCAGAATCGATCAACTATGTCACTTTCTATTTGCGGTGACACGGTGGCCCTAGGAACATGATCGACCAGCTTATTCTGCGCTTTGGTACACATTGTGTGTATGTACAAACTAGCTTTTCACTTATGTATGTATCTTCGTCGGCGAAAGAAAACATGGTGGTTGATTGATGTATACAAGGAACGAAGGGAGATAGAGAGAGACGAATAAATGTGTATGTTTAGCCTGATAGTAAATTCATGGAGCTATTGTGTTTCAGAAAGAGGTTTACACTTTTGCTGTTACTGACGAATATGTTCCGTTCTTGTTTTTATCTGATAACGAAAGATATAGGGATTTTAAGAGAAAAGTATTTAGTGCAGAAATTTATAAATGCAGATTTGCAGGTAAAGGTATTTGGGACTACAGGCGTTTAGGGATATAGGGATTTGGAAATACAGTGATTTCAAGATGGAGAGATTTAGGAATTTCAGGATTTAGGGATTTCGGAGTCTAGGGATTTCAGGATTTCGGGATCTAGGGATTTCGGAGTCAAGGGATTTTTGGATTTCGGGATTTTGGAGTCTAGGGATTTTTGGATCTACGGAGTTAGGGTCTAGGAATTTTGGGATTCAGAGATTTTGAGATTTAGGGATTTTTGGATTTAGGGATTTCCTGGACAAGGGAGTTCGGGATCTAGGGATTTTGGGGTTCAGAGATTTTGAGGTTTAGGGGGTTCGGGATCTAGGGATTTTTGGATCTAGAGATTTTTGAATATAGGACTTTCGGGATCTAGAAATTTCAAGATCTAGGTATTTGTCGGTCTAGAAATCTGCAGATTTAGAGACTTGAGGACATAGAGATTTGATGGCACAGAATTTTGGAATTACAGAAATCCAAAAATATAGAAATCTGTATACATAAAGATATAAAAATCTAGTAACATAGAAATTTCCGAATGTAGTAATTCAAAGAAATAAGTATTTGGAAGTAGATGCAGAGATTGTGATCTAGAATTACGTACGTTCTCACATAAAGAACACATATTTTGTTTTCATATCATACATTTATGATATCTCATCTTCCCTCTTAAAAGAAAATAATGTGCAGCGATAACCATCACTATTTACTAGCAACCTATTACTAACATTATACCTTACTAAAATATGCACAGACGTCCATTTGCCAATAGACTGAGGGAACCGCTATAATTCTGGATAAAATCCAACCTAATGTTCCTGTTGGCTGCACGCGAGCACCCGATGTTGCCCAAAATATTAAAGTAGGCCGGTAGAAAACGGATTTGCACGCACAAAATTATCCGCTACCTTTCGCCCGTTTGCAAACATTCCGTTTTCAACGCCTTCAGAATCCGTCACGATGCAACATTATACCGATACACCGTCGTATATCGCCGAAACCAACAGTTTCACTGCTGCCCTAGTTCAACAGATGGATTATTTTGTCACGTTCCGTTGGCAAAATATGTCGTAAACGATACGATCCTCTTATTTCATTCGGGCCACGTACGATATTCATGATATAATGTTGAGTTGTCGGGACTTCGTGTACTCGCCTTGGGGGTCTGTAACTATATTATTCTATGGGTAAACGCGTGTATGTGTTCGGAGTAGCTTAGAAACCTTAAACAAATACCGACATTGCTAACAACAGTTTAAACAGATTTGAGTATTATTTAAACGAGGTATCTTGGATACGATTATTCAAATAATTCATAGTCGTGTTTGCTTCGAAATTGTCGAGAAATAATTAGTTCATTTGAACAGGAGATTTCTAGGTTAATGCACGAATTTGTTAAAATTAATACTGCGTGTTTACCTGTTATTCATTCTCTAAATATTGAATTAAATTATCGCGTTAACGCTACATAAGTTTCACGCCATTGTTCGCCTGCTGCAGTTGATAATTAGTCATTTTGTATTCAGAACATTAATGAAGATATGGAATCATTTCCATGAAACTTCAAGTGGCTGTAACATAAGTTTATGGTTATATTTTTAAACCGACCATTAAAAAATGACGGCTAAAATTAAAGTACAAAAAGACATTAAAAGATGATAATTAAAAAAGAGATATAAATAAAATGAAATGTTCACGTGTAGCAGTATTCTTGAAGAGATTAAAATAACACCCCGCTAGGCTGTCTAACAGCGGACACATGACTGCATAGGGACCCATGATCTCATCGCTAACACCACTGAAACCATACCTAATTCCCATCGTTTCTCACGCCACGTTATCTCGTGTTCCAGGTGATAGACTTCGGCTCCAGTTGCTACGAAAACCAGCGCATCTACACGTACATTCAGAGTCGGTTTTATCGAGCGCCAGAGGTGATCCTGGGTGCAAAATACGGCATGCCGATCGACATGTGGAGTCTCGGCTGCATCCTCGCGGAGCTGTTCACAGGATTTCCTCTGCTGCCAGGCGAAGACGAGGCGGATCAGATGGCTTGTATCATCGAACTGCTAGGCATGCCACCACCCGAAGTGCTCGAATCGGCGAGACGACGAAGACAGTTCATCAACTCGAAGGGTTATCCTCGCTACTGTACCGTGACGACGATGTCGAACGGTTCGATCTTGCTAAACGGCAGCAGCTCCAGAAAGGGCAAGAGCCGTGGGCCTCCGGGTTCCAGGAAGCTCAGACAGGTGCTGAACTGTGACGATCCGTATTTCGTGGACTTCATACGGTCCTGCCTACGATGGGACCCGGAGCAAAGGCTGACACCCAGCAAGGCGTTGAAGCACATTTGGTTGCGTCGAATGTTGCCGAAGCTCCCGCAAAACCCTGCCCACGACGTTCTGCCCGCGTTGCCCGCCGCGGCCGCTCCGCCACCTCCGTCGACCACCGGACTGAGGACCTCCGCCACCGGGAGCCGGAGCTCCAGCAAGTCGAACACCTTGCAGACCAACAACACCGAGAACACGAACAAGGTGAAACAGCTGAACGAGTTCCTGCACACCATGTGTACCATTTATTCGGCGTTGCACCGCACCAACGGAACAGACCGACCCGGCCAGCCGGTTTCCGCGAACCATCAGCCCAGGGTCAGCAGTCATCCGTCGTTGAACTCCATCGCGGGTGACGGTGGCAGCAGTGGCGGCGATGGTTGCAGCAGTAGCACCAGCAGCGGTCAGCACAGTCATCAGCTACAAAGTATACAGCACAACAACGGCTCGCACGGATCCCACGAATCGCATGGATCGCACGGTTCGCACGGATCCCATGGATCCCATGGCTCCTCGCACTACAGTCGCAGCCTCCTTCGGGTTCGCGGAGTGGGTCGACTCGACCGACGATTAACGAGGACTTCTTCGAACAGCCGGGACGATTCACCGAAATACGAGGCCACTCTTTCTCTTCTTTAACGCGTGTACCGTCGTCGACGTTGCCGTTGTTGGTCTCGGATGAACAGGCACCCCGTCGACGGTTCAGAAACAAAATGGTGCCTGCCAAACGACGCCGCCGGTACTGGCTGTGGTAGGGTCGCTCGGCTAGGAGTTCGGGAGACAGAGTGGCCCCGTGATCGACCTCCAGATATTACTGTGATCTACGCGATTTCGTTAGTAAACTGGTGATGGGACTTGCCGAAGACTGTTAACAATTGGTCGCGATACCTCGAATCATGTACCTCATGACGTTGCTGCGCGTTGCTGTCCGACACGCTCGTCCCGGAGACATCCTCTAAGTCGTCGTCGAGTACGTTCCGATGTTGTTCACTTTTGTACTCGAGAATAATGTTAAGTAGAGACACGCTGATACCGGTCACGTTGTATCTCGCACGTTGTTGCGTCCTCTTATCGAGCGGATACGAGCGTGAGCTCGCTCTGCCAAGGGAACACGGCTACCAAACAATGATTCGAGTCAAAGGGTTATTCGGTCGACGAAGAAGCTTATTCGAGATACCAAAGGCATCTTCGTTGAGACGCGCGATACCAGCCTTTCACGCGGACAAGAATCTAATAATCAAAGGGCATGGAGCGGCACTGCCTCGCTGAATAGAGTCATCCGGAGCTTTTTAGGTCAGCCGATTCCTCCGTAATGCTATCAGTTGCCAGCAGAAGGGGAACGTTGATTTTCTATCGACGCGAACCACTGCTTCTTGTTGATTAAAGGATGCGAGACGAGGTAGCTTGTCTTTCGATTCCAACGATACTCTGAAACGAGTACGCTTTGTTCCTCTTCGAATCATTGATTATTAAGCGTCCATCTTGATTTCACGCTTGTTTCTTTCAAATTTACATGGAAGATTTACCTGGATTCGTTAAGATATTCTTACGTAGCAGAATTGTTTAAATATTTTAAATCAATGTACTTTGCATTTCTTTTTTTTTTGAGAAGTTTTCAATCAACTAGCAAAAGGTCTTCGAAGAACTCAAACGATTAATTTGTCAGTATCTGAAAAACTGTATTTATTTCACGCACTTAATATTTTATGTAAACGGTTTCAACTATTAATTCTCTTTTCTCGGTAATAAATTTATGATAAATAAGGTATTTATTGATGGTCATATGAAACATCTGTGTACACTTCAAATATTAATATCAAATATTGAAACAATAGCAGAGATATTACATAATATTAATGTTGATGTTGAGCATTTTAAACATATGTAATTTTTAAAGGCCATAATAACCTCTGTTCATTTCATGAGTGAAATTGTGTGATAATTTGTTTGAACATTTTATACATATTTATAATGATTATTTAAAATTGTGGTATCTAAATCTTTCATACCTTCAATTTTGATAATAAATATTAATCGTTTGAGGAGTTTTCGGAGTCCATGTTAGTTCTAAAATAGGAAAGATAAGGATCTCGAATTCATTCGATTATTCAAGTCTCAAACCGACGCTAAATAAATGTCTAATATTTAACAGCTTAAAATACCTGAAACACGAATATATCTTCTGCTGAAAATATCTGTGAATGTCTTCAATGATTAATGTCAGAATTATAAAATCGACAAGATGTCAGTCACAACTTCGTTGGAGACTATTTCACGTAAAAATTTACCTCAAATCGCGCGTCTCAACGACCTTTGCTATCTCGGTGAGATAGAAATAAAAAATGGACGAAAGAGCAGCTTGAGAAGCGCGAGCTCTTTGTGTTAGTAATTCGACTGTTTCATAATTTCAAGTCTACAAACTCTTTTTTTAATGTGCTATGTGGGACATTTAAAGTTAGAAGAGTCTTGATTATTAGGGATTGCAAAATTAAATCTATATTTCTAAATTATTCAATTGATAAGTTCTCACACTTCCAAATCTTCAGACATTAATTCTTTAATATGAAAACTATTCTCACATAAAAATCCCAGTTACAGGTTCTTCTAATTTAAAGTGCAATCAGAAAACCCGAAAGGGTGAAGGTCCCACATCGCACAAGGAGGGTTAAATGTCCAGTTTTAGAATCATGCATTCTGTTTACACATCTCACCTATGATCTTTTTATCAGACGAATTTCACCTTTCCGTAGACTTGTCCTTTTTAACTCTTGCCAAATGTATAGCTTTAAGCTTCAATCGATACTTTTAGGTATCTTGCATTTTTTATGAGCTTTTTATAATCTCTGCTGCACTCGTCAGCATTTACGGGTGGTTCGAAAAATCGACAGCATTTCTACAGTTCTTCAAACATCACACTGCATTTGATTATGTAAAATCCTGTGTCAATTTTTCGAACCCAGAATTCCTATTCGAACATCTTGCGGATAAAATTCACTTTGTTTAACGAATCAGATTTCAAACTTTCCTGCATTTCTCCAGTATTTTATAATCCCTGCATAATGCATTTATCGGTAGAATTGAGTTACATCGAGCTACGACCACCGAATTCGCGAGTTTCGAATTCGCGGTGGCCGTTCCTGTGGAAATTCGATTTACCAGCAGTTTATTTCGCACTGAGCCATTTTAACCCTTCCGTACCAAAAGTTATACGGTACATAAACTACTTACAAAATTATCTCGAAGCTTATAACAAATTTAAGCATCGAGATGTAACTAATATTTAATTATTTTATAAACGATTATTTATATTTAATAGCTGCGTTGGACAGCATTGAATTGACGACTGTACTTTTTGTAGGATTTTTTTTATTTTATGTATTTCATTTTTTACACTATAAGCTGGCATTTGCGTAACTAGGATTTGGGGGTGAAATTTTAGGAAAATATAAGGAAAAGTTTGTAATACTGATGGATATTGGAAATAGCAAATTATTGGACATAGAAATGTAGATATTATTCTTAATTTCCAAATTTCAGTTATTGAAGTTAGATTTAAAAATTCTCTTCTCAAATTTTCAGATTTAATTTTGCTACTTTCAAATTTCCAAGCTTTCAAATTCTGATTGAAGTATGCTGCCTAAACCCACTCTATCCTAGTTACTCTAATGCAATCCACAGATGTACACGACACACTAAACACCCTAAAGAACAATTTCCGTATGCGAGAAGTAGCGTTAATAAAAATTTATGGTTCAAAGGAAGAGAAACATCGACTTGAGCTCGAATCCGTCGAGGAAGTCTTGTAGACTCGTCAGCGACCCTGGCACAAGCAAATTCACGCTAATTTTAGTTGGGCCGAGCGAATAAAGGGACGAAATAGCGTTTCGACGTCGACGTAAAGCTATATAACCGGGAACGAGACGTTGGACGAGCAACGATCAAAAGGAAACAGAGTGGAGAGAGCACGGTTGAAACGTCTCAATAATGAAAGAGAAGAAAAGATGAAACGATCGGCGCGCGAGAACAAAAATGGCGATCAAAGCCGGCGATCACATAGGGATCCACGGCGAAGAAAATGGAGAATGTTTTAGCGAGAAGCAAGCAGTGAGACGAGGGTTTATTATAAATCGTGATACTGAACAAGATATCTTGTGATATGGAATTTTAGACGTATTGGGGTTCATACTGATGAACATAGATAAATATAGATTATATTATATATATGTATATGAAGTGCATATATACATATATATATGTATATATACATATATATATATTGTATTGTACTGTAACGTTGTAACGCTAACCAAGAGACAGAAAAGAGCGGGAAAGCACGATTATAAAATGAACGTGCTTCAGCGAGAAATAGCCAGCTAAAATAATGCGTTACAAAAAAAAACAAACGAACAAGAAAAAAATAATACGGTTTCGTGAAACGTTACACGATACGATGTACGACGATATCGTTCACGATTCCTTCCCTCTTTGTTTTACATTAAATTCCTTTTTATCATGTGATTATATTACGACCGCGTACGAATCTAGAATGTACAATGGCGATCGCGAACGTGTGTGTCCGATTAATCTCGCGAGAGAACGAACATTCGTTGCTCTGTTTCTTTCTTTATTTTTTTTCTTCCAATTGTATTTCTTCTTTCTCTTTCCTTGTAAAACACGCGAAGGCACATTGTCCCCGCTGGTCGAGAAGAAACGTCGAAGGAAACAAGCATAGATCGATCTTTACTAACGTTTTTAACCGGATTTTTAAGACGAGATCGATCGTAAATACCACTGCCAATACCTTCCTATATAAGTTCGGCTCTCGTTTTCTCGTAAGTAAGCGATCACATGTATTAGTTACGAACCTAGTCCCCCAGATGACCGACGTCGTCGCAATATTGGGCGAAGGGTATCTTGGCAAATGATGGGCGGAGGTAAAATTGATTAAGGCTTTCTTTATTTGTGAACGAGGGGTTGCTGGAGCAATTATCTTTTTAGTTAATTCTGTCACTTATAAATACCACAAAATTTAAAAGTAATATTTTCTCAGTTATAAAAAATTATAGAATTTTGGTCTGAATAATTTTTAGCTAAAAATTCCATGACGTACCATTGAAAATTGATACCATTGTTTCAACAACTTGAAGCAACGAATTTCAAGCAATAATCTTAGTAATCTCCCTCACTTTATGAGCAAATATTACCTGCTCGTCATCTGCCAGTACACCTAATGCCTAAGGCTCGATCAACGTGCTTACGCGTGTCACGATTGTCAGTAAGCACATTTCATGTACGCAAATTAGGCACAGGTTAAACGTGCGCTACTGCCGTTTACCATTTAATAGATAAAACAAATCGCTCGAGAATTTACGTTCGACTTAATTTGTAATCGATCGCACTCCTCACTGCTTTACTGTGATTAACGTTACTCACGTTCGTTGTCGGTGCAAACTTCGGCTCAAACCTATCGCGTGTATATTTTGTCGATTGATCTCGAAGAAGATTGCCCAGAAATTAATTTAGGCTCTTTCCTTCCTTTCTTTTTTCTTTTACCCTCCGACACAAAGATGCCTATAAACGTGTACATAAGTACGTTGTAAGATTTAGCTTTTTTCTCTCCTTTTCTGTGTTTCTTTTTTTTTATTGCTTTTTACCGTTTATGCAACGCGTCCCGACGCCCAACGGAGGTTTAAGATAGCTGTAGGATTATAACGTACACGGGACAGGATATTTCAAGGTCTGGGCTTTAACTCAAGACAAACGAGGGTGTGTTCCGAGTGGTTTGAAAAGGTGCGCGTGGAGATTCCTCTTCTCACGGGAAAAACAAAGGAAAACCTAAACGATGTCCGCTTTTGTTCGTACGTGTACTTTAATCTTATCTATTTTTCTTCTTGGGTACACACTTGTACTGAAGTTTCGGTACGTTTACTGCGTTTTATTTCTTTCGATATTCTTCTTGTCGCGATGGGACGTTTTTAGAATTTCACTGTTTACAAAAATATACTTCTCGGCAAATTTAAGGAAACTACCCTTAAACGTGGTGACGTGCGATGACATTTCTTGTTAACATTTTATGTTAAAATTTTTATCATTTAAAAGTTAAATCTAAATCTGTAAACATTTGAGAATTTGAACATTTCAAAACTTTTGATATCTTAACATTTTTTAACATCCTGAAGTCGTCCTAAAAAATTGTCAAAAGTAAATTTTACAAATATATTTTAAAGTTAAAAATGTGAAAGGTGAGAGCTAAAAAAATATCCTGCGGATCACGTACTTTAATTGAACAACTTAAAAAACAGAAACGAAACCAATAAATATTCATAAAATCGCTAAATGTCACCAATACTTAGTTCATCCTTTATTTATCAGCGTCCGTTTCGTCGAGTCATAAAGGGGTTCATGATCGTAAAACGGTTAAGCGACATTTCAAATACATTTCATCCATGGGATCAGTTCTGTTCGATATCGATGCATATTTATAGGCTCGATGCAAGCCACTCGGACGTTGAATTTTTATAAAAGTACCCCAACGACATCGGTGCTGTCGATTAAAAATAAACGTCGCTATGGACTCGCTGTATCAGACAGAAATACATGAAATTGCAACCATCGTCCACCCCAAAATTAATTAGAAAATTTCTTCAAAATCTTCAGAACCTCTTGACAACTTATTTCAAGTAAATCTTTCAGAGATGTACCCTTTAATGTACCTAACAAAATGTCTTCAACTTCGAAAACCGTCGACTGTTAATTTATGACAAAAAATTGAAATAAGTCTACAAGTGTCAGAAAGACAACTTTTTGCTCATGAAAATATTTATTGGCAAAGTATATAAAAGCTTATAAATAACTGTAGTGACATTTTCATGCGCATTTATCCCAGCTTTCGTATAAACATCCCTTTCACGAGCAAAAAGTGGATCTTCAAAAAAGTGGCACTTGCAGTTTTTCAATTTCGGAAGCGCATATGTTTTTGGACGAATGTGCAAGTAAGGGTTAATCTCGTTGAAGAGGACGCAGATTTTATCGGATCGATCGACGAGGCGTGCTGGCCCCAAGTTCGTTGAACGCAGCCACCTCGTTCCGTGACCTTCCCTCTTTCAGATCTTGCCATTCCGGTGAATCGATGCTCCCCTCTCTTTCTTCTCCTTTCTTCGTTTCGCTTCAATCGTTATCATTCGTACAGTCAGACACCAAGGAACCTTTACTTGTCCTCTTATCCCGCCCATTGGCGTAACTAGGATTTCTGCCTGGGGTGGGTTGCGTCCCCCGTGTCTACGCCCTGTTACGGACGTGATCGACTGAATTCGGACATCTGGGAATTTGCGGGGTTGGCTGGCGGATATTTGAGTGTTTCAGGGATTTTCGGGGTTAGGAACTTGGAGATCTTGGAATTTGGAGTTTGGGGGTTTGGGAGGTTGAAGATGCGAGGATTTGGGGGGTTAGAGGATTTGAGGATTTGGGGGGTTGGGGGGTTGGGGATTTAAGGATTTGGGGATTTGAGGATTTGGGGATTTGAGAATTTGGGAGTGTGGAAATATGGGAAGTTAGGGATTTGGACATTTTGGGATGTGATGATTTGACGATTTGGAGGTTTGGGGCTTTGGAGATATGGGGATGTGAAAATTTGGAGATTTGAAGGTTTGGGGCTTTGGAGATTTTGGGATGTGAAAATTTGGAGATTTGAAGGTTTGGGGCTTTGGAGATATGGGAATGTGGTAACTTGGGGATTTGAAGGTTTGGGGCTTTGGAAATTTTGGGATGTGAAAATTTGGAGATTTGAGGGTTTGAGGATTTGGAGATTTTGGGATGTGATGACTTGGGGATTTGAAGGTTTGGGGCTTTGGAGATTTTGAGATGTGATTTGGAAATTTAGAGATATAGGGATTTGGGGATTTTGGAAATTTTTAGATATAAAGATTTGGAGATATGAGGATTTGGGGGTTTGAAGGTTTGGAGGTTTAGAAATTTAGGATTTTGAAGACTTGACAAATTTAGGAATTGGAGAATGCTGAAATAAGAGAAGTTAGGTACTTGAGAATGTCAGGAACTTGAAGATGTGGTCATGCGAGGATCTCTACACTTAGGAATTGGGAAATGTGAAAAAATAAAAATGTATGGATTTGTATTTGTACACTTAGAAATTTGAAACTGTCCATAAATTTGCATCTACATAAACTTGATTATTTACATAACTTTGGAAATCTTCTAACATCCAAGTTTGCAGATACCCAAAGAATTTATACTTGAAACTTTACTCCTATAAAAACTAAGAAAATTAAAGACTAAATATAGCAAAATAAGAATTGGAAGTAAGTTATATAAAGCCCTACAAGTAACTGGTAACTGACACCTACAAGGGTAGAGTATTTCGTGAAGGGTCGGACCCTCCATCCTAGTTACGCCAATGAACCTGAAACCCTTTCTTTCGTTACTTGGTCCAATTCTCTTCCGATAAAGCGTGACACGTTTTATATCTAAAATGATATTCATCACAGATTGATATTACCTTGATCGTAATCCGCACGGAACACGCCCGAAGTACGCTTGAGAAGAGGAATGAGATAATAATCGTTTAAGAGAGATAATGGTAATCGATTTTAAGTCGTAATGATAGATAAGAAACGAGGATAGAGTAATTCTGAACGAACAAATGGAGAGAAAAAAGAAAAGGAATGAACGAAAAAGGAAGTCGGGTTAGCTTGTAGCTCGTTATCCCCTGATTCTTTTCTTTCCTTGCCTACAGTTTTCATTCAATTGCGAGAACGATGTGTTTCGATGTGTGATTTGAAAGGTTGTGCCAAATTTTAATGATACGCTGTTATGGTGCTTGTCGCGATTGATGGAACATGTTTCTAATATGGCGGCCATTTTGTTGAAGGACGACATTTCGCGGACTTAAACTGTAACTTTGTAGGGTTGTGGATTTAAACTGTAACCTTATGGGATTAATAAGGGTTTTCAGTAGAAAGTCATTAATTATCGTTCAAATGAAGGATGAAGACATCTGGTATTTAGGGAAGTATCGAACGTTGAGATTCGCTAAGGAAAATGGCGGTATAAGTAAAGAATTATGCAAATTAATAAAACTCATAGGTTCACAAGTTAAGTTCTTATATTTACAAATTTCTTAAATGCTAATATTTGAATTATTTAAAAAATTCTTAAATTCTCAAGTTTTCAAGAATCAAATATCTAAATTTCAATGATGCTCTAACTTTTTATTAGAAGAATTCTTGCACTCTCAAATATACAAATTTCTTTAATCTTCAAAGTTTAAGATTCCAAATAATCAAATTTTTTACATAAAATTTTCCTAGATTCTCAAAATTCTGTAACCATCTTCAAAAATTCTTTAAACTCCCCAAATCTCTAAACTACTTTCG